AGCAAAATAATCCAATATAGTCCAGTAGTCCATAATAGTAGTGGGTTATCCGTAAGACTGTCAGAAATTATTGCCTTGAGCCTTTTACAGCTCAGCATATTAATACGGCTTTGCTTTTTATACCTCATTTTTATACTTTTCTCCTGGATGGTGAGGACCAAGGTAAAGCAGGACCTATACAGCAAGCAATGTAGCTTTTGCATACGTGACCGATTTTCATTCTCTCCTTCATGCTTTTCCCAAATTGTCTACACTGAACACGCAATATTTTTGATGAAATCAAATTTAGAAAGCTTTTAATTGTTTTTCTGAGATCCAGACATTTGTAGGAGTCTCAATGAGCAGGAGAGACAAGCTTTTGCTCAACTATGTCAAACTACACAGCTGAGCAGAAAGCAAAGGAACAAGCCGGCAGGTCCCGGGAAGTAAGATGAACGGCCTCAGGTCCTGGACCTAACCACAACGTAGCCTCAGACACAGCACGACAGAGAGAGAAACACCAACTTCAACAAGCATCCTTAGCCCCTCAGCCCTTACCCTTTGAGCACACGTGAGCATAACAAGCCAAAGATAAATTAACAGACGGACACATCAAGCCCTCCTGACTCCAAACTTACCTCCTTCGCTGAGTTCTACATAAGACAGAAATCAAAAATAAGAGGTCAAAAGTACCTCACAGGCATCCTTAATAGTGCAGGGTAAAGACACATCCCTTATACTGCAAATCAGAGGGGTAGGAATCACAGGACGGCCCTGTAATTGAGCTATCAAATGCCTTTTCATAGCTCTAAGTTGGAGTCCAATGCAGCAAATGAAACCACAGGTAGAAATCAATTACATGTCGGCTTGCGGGTGAAAGAGGGAAGGAATAGCCTAGAGGAAGCAGAAAGAAGGCTACTGCGAATGTGAGGTCAGCTTGGCCCGACCTCGGCCCGGTGAGTTGGTGACATGCAGTCTAGATGCTGCTGTGAAGGCCGGGCGTTGGGGATGTGATTAACCTTGACATCAGCAACACAGAGCACAGGACATTACCTTTCACAAGGCAGGGTCTCAGCCACCCAATTTAAGGCAGTGGGAGGAGAAAAGACTAAAGCTTCCCAATCAAAAGAGAATTTGGTCCCAAGACTGCAACAGATGACACAATCCACAGATGTACCCACCCCCAGTCGTGTGAGTCAATTCCTGTAACTCGCTCCATTTTTCTTGAATAGATAATGGCATGATAAACAGTCTGCTTATTTATTTGGTTCATCTTTTGGCTCCCTCCCCTTTTGCAGAAGATCCATCTTCCGATTTTCTCTATTTTGGGGCATGAGAAAGCATGGTGCATACGAACTAGACCAGAGGATGCTGGAGTTAAAAAACACATTTCGAGAAGTCTGTGCCACAGGGTGCTCCAGGCAGCTATGGAAGTGAAATCCATTCAGTAAGAACGTGGAAGCTGAACAGGTGTATTTCACATTTTCAAGATCTTTAAGAATAAATGCTGTAAAGACAGTGTTCATAGAGGAAGCAACTTACCATACTTGTCCCTCAAGCCAACTGTGCATCTGAAGACTCCACCAAAGGCCACATCTTCACCAAATATTACTGAAAAACAATGAAATGTTTACATTTTAAATCATAAAACAGAAATGGACCATCAGTCTAGACCCAGGTCACTCAACTTCAACACTGCGGGCAGTTGGACTTCACAGTCCTCCCGCTGGGAGCCCTTGCTATAAATGCACAGCAGCAGCCCTGTCCCCACCCACTGGCTGCCAGGGGCCCCATCGCACACAGCTGTGACAGTCCTGAAGTGTCTCCAGACACTGGGAAAAGCAGAGAAAGAGAAGCAAAGCAAAGCAACTGCAGCCGAGACAGTATCACTGACTCAGAGCCTCGTCTGCTTCACCTCTAAAGAAAACGAGGCCACAAGAGAAGTGTAGCTGCCCGCTGACATAAACTGGACATCTAGCCTAGATATTGGGTCTCTCATAAGAGAAATCAAAACTACCAATAAACAGCAAAATAAAAGATAGAAAATAAGAAATAGGACGATGGATTTCCTGCGCAAGGGGAAGGGACCAAGGGATGAATGAAGAGAGGGAAAGGAGGAAATAAAAAAAAATAAAAAAGCATCGAGATGTGTTCTGTGTGCACACCAGCTTCTCATAAAGAAAGGCATTAGCATGGGATGCCAAAACTGCACAATGAAATTATAAAAAAGTTAAAAGAAAAATTTAAAGTATGCTGACTTGCCAAGTCCGAAAGCTAGCGGCACAACTGTAACTCACGCCCAGGCTCCCGGGTCAGTGATTTCTTAAACTCAGCACACAGTAGGTGTCAGCCATCGAGGAGCTGAAGGAAAAGCACTCCAGCCTAAGGGAGGGTTCTCATTAGCAAAGGAACTCAGACTGTGTAAAACAGAAAGGAAGTAACTGTAGCAGGACACACAGTAAGTCAGGGAAGAACAGAGCATGCGGAAAGTCAGCAAGTCAGCGGAGCTTCATAGTATAGAAAATAAGATACAGAGTGTTCACAGTGCTGAACTCTAGGCCCAGAAGGCACCCAGCAGTCTGTGGATCTCAAGGCAATAACTCACACTTCCGTTTCACTCATCTGGGTCATGATTTTCCAATAGTATTTGAAACAAGTAAAGGTCAATCACCCTCTAGCTTTCACTTCCTCCTAAAAAGACACCTGATATTCACTTAAAAGGAAAATTCTCAGGGCTGGCCAAAAAGCTCAGTGGATTAAAGTGCTTGTTTAGGTAGATGCAGAGGCGGAGGTTCAACCCCCTGGGGCAAGCTGGGATGGCAATTGAGACTGGGCGCAGTGGCGCATGTCTGTAATCCCAGCCCTAGGGAGGCTGTAAACAGGTGCATCAGTACGAGGTCTGATCTAGCGGTGAGACCCTGAACACCCTGTAAAGCCTTCCCTAAAATACAAAAAAACAAAACAAAAACAAAACCCAAGGATTCTCAAGTGGAAGTCCACAGTATAATTTCTTTAAAATAATATAGATACATAGATATACATGTATATATGTGTATGTACATATAGTGCAATCTACTAGTGGAAAATAAATATATTATAACCTACATGAATATCAGGTCAAGCCAACCAAATTTGGAAAACACAGTAAGATCACTGTTTCTATATCAATCATCTAATAAGATGTCTAACAACCTATAAAAATATTTATAAATACTAAATTTATCATGTTCAAATAAATTTTACAAGTAAATGATGATAGCTAATCAAAATAAAAAAAGGTGTGGAAATTTAAACTTTATTTTATAAATAAATACCTACACAAGTGTAATTTTTCTGGTTTTTTTCTTATTATAGCATAAAGGAGAACACAGCAGTTGTTAGTCATCAGTTCAGAAGGTATTAATGTTGGGACGACATACACAATGAAAGTTAACTTACTGTAGACACACATGAGAACTAATTTGTAACAAATGTATTTCAGACATGGTCAGTACTGGAGTCTGATTATTTACCCTTAATGACCCAATTCGGTCTTCTCACAATTCCAGGGGACACAACATTAACCAACACACTCCAGACAAACACTGCACGTCAGGCAAACATTCAGTTCTGGAATTACCACAGCTCCTGGTCAAGCACAGTGACACTCACCTGCCGTAGGGTCTTTTGCTAAGGAGTTGTCCAAGGCACTTGTTATTGCTTGGAAAAGATTCATTTTCTGAGTTTGGCCTGCAGAAAACAAAAGATGCATCATTTCATACCTTGTAAAATATGTAAAGATAATCATTTTCTGAATGGTTGATCATAAATGAATTTAAAAACCATGTCCGAAATCAAGGCAAAGCCAGAATGCAAACACATCATGTGATTTTACTGGATTTATAAGGATGTGGAGACTGTGGCAGACACAAAATCAACGCAGACTCCAGAAACTTGGTAATGAGGAAAAATTTACACATATTAAACAATATATAAACAAATTTAAAACAAGGAAGAAAATATAATTAAGGGACTAAATGTGTGTAGACAATAGCAGCTATGGAAAGTTAAAAAGATCACATGAGAGGCAGGGTGACAACAGTGAGAGAAAGTACATAGGCAGATATGTGAGGAACCACAGGTACAAAGACACACAGGACCAGTTGACAGCAGTCATGTCCCATAAAATAACAGCTTAGTACCCAGAACGGCTATCTGGAGCACATCACAACATCATGCCCGAACATGTCAGTCTCATGCCTTCTTGCCTTCTTGCCTTCTTGCTTAAGAAGAATCTCTGTGAGCCAACACCTGTCTCCTTACACAGATTTTCAGAGCAATAAATGGAGCAACGCACGCTTAGACGACACCTGACACCATGCGTGCTGAATGGATGTCATCTCCTCACTGTTAGAATCTGAACTTTGCCCCTGCCCCCCGCACACACACCTAGCACTATTCGGCACAGTACCAAGAGGTCTTATCTGGTAAAATCCCAAGGGCTACGGTTCTGAAAAGTGAGGATTTTATAGCTCTGACAGAAGCCTAGCTGCTTCCCCAGGTCCACAGGTTCATCCCACAACCTGAAGTCAGCTCCTCTCCAAAACCATTGCGCAGAGCACACACAGGCGCCCACCTGAATCCTCGACCTAGAGCCCCACTCTCAGCTTAGGGCTTGATCTGCCCAGTGGTGATCGACCTCACCTGCTGCTTACACTGGCCATCATCCTATCTAATGTCCCTGCTCTTCAGTATCCAGTGTGTCCCAAAAGTCAAGGTCTCTTTTGCAGTGTCCATTACTGCAGTCACAGCTGTGGCCTTCAACCCTCTTAAAATAGGACACTGGTCACTTCTCTTCTTTCTAGACACCCAACTTCTTCCCTAGCCCAGCCCGGCTTCACCTGTCTCAACTACAACACCATAATCTCACACCTAACCACATCAGACTCACTCCTTCTTCATAGTATCTCACTATTTAAGAAGAAGCTCTGCAAGCTGACACCTTTCTCCCTACATCTTCGACCCTTTCCTTATCCCACTGCAAACTGGCACTCTGACCATCTATCTGCTTGCTTGGCCACAGGTATCTCTCCAATCCCTTCAGTATAGCTCAATGCCCAGGTTCCAGGGCTTGGCACTCTCCTATCAGAAATGTCATATTGCCATCTGTGTCCAGAATAACAGCCTGTTAATATTATTCTATATAATGCCAATAACAGGAATTTATTCAAGAATATATTGCTGCATCATCCACATTAAAGGATACACAGCCTTCCCTTATGCCCGTGATTACTTTATAAATTATTTGTTTTAGGACTAATGGACTATAGTTCACTTTAACTTCCTGAAATTCTTCTCTATAAATACCCTTATACATATTTAGTGTCCTACATCAGACAGTGATAGCTTAAGTCAATTATTTTTCTTAATCACAAGGACATTGTTACCTTCTCATGTTTCAGGCATTTCACAGAGTACCAGTGTTGTCTATTAGCACAGGGGCCCTCAAGCATGGCACAGCATAGTCTATGACCTCCTAGGAACCAGGATATAGAGCAGAGGGTGAGCAGAGAAGGGCGA